GGGTGTGTGTAATTAAAAAGAAATTTCAGGCGATAATAAAATGCATTTAAAATTTAATAAATTACATAATTGTGATGGAAGTACATTAAATTAAAATAAAAAAATAATGAAAGTATAAATAGTTCAAATAATTTGAATCATGTATTTAATAATTCATAAAATAAAACATGTAAACGTATGTTTTAACAAAATTATACTTAACGGTGATCGTTCGATTTTATTTTTATGAAATTACTTTATATAAAATTATTGCTATAATTGTTACTCTAGATGAAATTAACGTTTCATTAAATATACAAGCGTAGATTTAATTTTCACGTGACTTAAAATACTATATTCATTAGCATTTAAACTATTTTATATATATGCAATTAAGTCTTTTATTGATGAAATTGTTATTTAAATCAATAAAATTGTTATTCCGTATAAATGTCATTGGAAATTAAAAAAAAAGAAAAGAAAAGAAAAATTATCCACATAATAATTAAAACGTATAATAAAATTCGTCTGTATTTTTTTAAAGTTAGATGTGTATGTAGCGATGCAATTAATATTTAGTAATTGCATTTTTGCATTAATCTTTTACTTAATCGCGTTTAATGTTCGTCATAGAAAAAGTAAAAAAATTTATCACGACAGAATATTCTTTTCGCAATTTAATTAATCGTGTATAAATATCATTTACTTTTCTATTATAATTTCATACATCTCTCAAACGTTTGTCGATGTCATTATTAAAATATATTTATTACAAAAATATTTTAAAGATTATTAAGACATAGATTATCCATAGCATTGTTTCAGTATTAAATCGATAATCAGATATGGACTTAACTCGAACTATTAAGCCATATTCTTAATTATTTTTATAAATTAATCGAGTATATATATCGATGAAAATTTGATATTCCTAAGACATTGTCTTAAAATTGTCTAGAGGTAATAATATCCTGCGAAAGTGAGTATCCTCGGCTTCTTCCGCGCGTAAAAATTAGATTATCCGGCTTAAATTTTCATTCGAAGAATAATTAATATTTTTTAGAAAACAGTGTACACGGTAAAATAATACACATAAATCCATAGTGGCCTTGATATCATTTTATCGGGTCGTTCTCTCTCCATGCCTTACCGGGTGTATATCCTAACTTCGAGATTATAGATTCGAGTCTCGGTGCGCGTGTTCCTCTATTCTTCGTCCTCGTGTTCGCCGACATTTTTCAGCTCCCGACACTTTATACGCAGAGATGTAGAGGTAGAGGACCCGAAGAAAGTAGCAGCGGCCACTTGGGGGAATGAGAGATAGTCGTATCTAGTTCTTCGCGCGATTCAAGCTTAATCTCCGACATAAGTCGTGTTCCTTTTCGTAATCGAATACAATGAACGCTTAAGTTTTTCCAACTTCAACATTCATGAATACAACCTTGTACTAAATGTTACTCTCCCTCGAAATTTATCATTCTACATCGTCGCGTATGAAAGAGATGAAACATAATGACATTATTTAAATTATCGTATCGTTTGTGATTTATTAAATATTTTCATTGAAATATACAGACTGACATATTGATTTTCATTTGATACTTAACAGCTACTACTACAATAATATAACATTATATATATATATATATTTTTTATTCTTTGATTTGCTAATTGAATTATTTATAATAAGATTATTATCTTATTTGGCCTGGAATGTGCTTCGATACTTTAGAAAAGAATATCGGATAAATATATTTGGAAACAGAGAAGCTATTGGGAATGAGTTTGAGCGTGTCCAAGTTAAACGTATAAAGTTATTAGATTGCTTGATAAGGATATGTATTTCCTTACGTTTCAGCATATGTAATTTATAAATATATATATATATATATATATATATATATATATATATACAAACGCCCTCTGTTGATAAAATGCATATTTTGAATACAACAGTTGTAGAATTGAAGTAGAAAGAGGTCCGCAGACTGTCTTGTAAACTAATGCTTCTATCTCATAATGAAATAATTCATTAATGGCTCTGTGTATGTGTGAGCGTGAAATCGTGAAGCGACGTAAGTTTGGTGAAAAAAACAAAAAGTCTATGGAGATGTAATGTTATTCTTACCTTGTTCGAAGCTGTCGCCGAGGTGAGTAGTCCCAGACGAGAAAAGGATAGGTAGAGCAGAGGGGTCGTGAAAGTAAAGAGTTAGGCAGACAAACGTACATGAACGTAATATTTATTATAATTTAATGGACATGAATGGTCGATGGCTCGTATTGCCGGCCGACCGTAACGTATGCATAGAGTCTAAAATAGAAGATCGTAGATACGCGTAAATTGATTATGATTTGTGTGCGGGGAGATTGGTGAGGCCGGAGTCTGGGCTCTGGTGGAAGGTTGTGGCGGGTGGCTGTAGGGCACCTGATTCCTGATCGGAGTTGGGCGGCGTGAGGCTCGTCGTTGGCTGTTCGGCTTTCCCCGTCGACTGCTCGGGCTTGGGATTGTTAAGGGCGCATTTCTTGTAGTGAGTGCGCATGTTGCTGCTCTGGGAGAAGCTGAGTGTGCAGTTGGGACAGGAGTACGGCTTGCTGCCCGTGTGGTAGTTAAGGTGGGTCTTGAGGTGGTGCTTCTTGGTGAAGGCCTTGGAGCAGAGGGTGCACTGATAGGGCTTGAGGCCGGAGTGGAGTCGCGTGTGGAGGGTCATGTTCGAGCGGTCGGCGAAGGCCTTCTGGCAGACTTGGCACTGGTAGGGCCGTTCGCCCGAGTGAGTGCGCAGGTGTTGTTTGAGCAGCATCTTCCTGGAGAAGGCCTTGCCGCACTGCTCGCACTCGTGGGGCTTGAGGCCCGTGTGGATGCGCACGTGCATGTTGTAGGCGACGCGCTGATTGAAGCTCTTGCCGCATTCCGCGCAGGCGTACTCCTTGCGGTTCCGGTGGATCTTCATGTGGGAGCTGAGGTAGCCCCGGTCGTTGAAGCACTTGCCGCACTCCGGGCAGCTCGCGGCGAACTCCCTCGTGCCCTCGTGGACCGACCGGTGGTACTTGTAGTTGCGCAACTGGGAGAATTGCTTGCCACAGTCGGTGCATCGGAAGGGCTTTTCCCCGGAGTGCGTACGTAGGTGGACCTGCGAAGCAGGTAAAGTTCGCTGTCGATACACGGGTACGCGGCTGCGGTGGGTCCCGGCGCTCCTTTTTATTATTATTATTTTTTTTTTTATTCGGGAGGAGAGTCGAAGTAGTGGCGATGGTGTGTGGCGCGGGATATTGGGCGGGGAAGAGGGTGTGTGGAGCGTCCGAGGCGTCCGAGCATCTCGTATGCGAGACGAGGAAGGCAAGGCCGCGGCAAGAGCAACGTGTGAAGAGGCGAAGAAGGAGGGCACCACTATTATTTCTTCGCGGTTGTCGCGCATTCCGCGGTTTCGCCTATTCACCGATTCACCGCAACGGCGAGCCTATCGCCGCGGCACCTGCGCACCGACGCTTTCCGATATTTCGGCAAGACGAGTGACGGCGAGCCGCCTTCGAAAGCGGGTCACTCGCCGCCAGACTCTTGTCCGATGCGTCTGTTTGCATAAGCTACTCGCGCTCGAACTGCAAACAACCTTCGTAACAAGGAAACGATCGCGACGTGCTCGCCTTAAACGAGACGACAAGAGAATTACACCAGAAGTCTTGGGCGATGATTTGTCTCTGATCGCCGCTACGTCGGCTTAGCAGAGGTCTCGTTTCAACATTCGTTACTTCCGTCGTCGAGTGTACTGGGCCAATGATGACACCACTTAGCAGAGATTCTACAAGTCCCGTACCTGACACGATCTACTTTACATATCGTATTATGGAAATATTGCTCAAGTATTGCGTAATCATCCCTTCATTATACAGTCCAAGTTACTTTTGCCTTGCAATAATAATACCTACGTTTAATCGACAAATTTAATAAATAATACCGATGAAATAGTCATATACCCGGTGCTTCTTAGTGCATTCGCTACCGTGAAATATAATACAAATTCAGCACAATACATAAGCGATTAATGCGACAGGCAAATTGGAAATTTATTACAGTTTCCTTTTTTTAGTTGTTGTTGTTGCTGCTGCTGTTGCTGCTTTAAATTTCATACCTGAATTTAAGATTTACTGTAGAATTTATCATTCTTATGTTGCAAGCGCTCTGGAGCTTTATTCTCATACGGGTTACGATACGCTAATGAAGTATTTATTGTTTAATTACACGTGGTTTGTGATGCATCCTAATATACTAGTTAGCTAACTAAAGAAATCGTGCCCGTTACAACGCATTTTTTGTTTATACAATGCTGTATGTGTAATCTGTAGTCGAACGAGCAAATATTTATTCCTATATTTATTTCGTCGAAGGAAATCTGCTCTGAGAAAGAAAAAAAAATCTTCACTTAATTTCACGCGTCAGATATTAATTCACAACAAAATATTTCCCAATGATTAAGCAATCTCTGTTCGTATTAAATTATTTGCATCTGACTTCAAATTGTATGCAACTCTCAAACCCGAGAAATTTTTCTCGATTTAAAATCAACTACGCGAGCATATATTTAGCGCAAATTATGAGATATTATCTCAAAGTTTTAAATGTTTTTATAAAAGTGAATTATGCGCACATGTTTCCGTGGAAGAAATATCGGGAAAAGCTTGCATCCTTGTAATAACAATCTTATACCGCGTTACTATTTCGTATTAATCAACAACTTTACGTAATCGAGACAATTGCTTTAAAAAAATTTAGAGTATGACCGTTGTATAAGAGCGAAAAGTACCGTTAAAATTAATTTACGTTTTAACCAGTTGCCAAACGAATAATTTATAATGAAATTTACAATAAAATACAATACAATTTGAAAAGTTGTAATTATGTATTTTCAGATCGAAAGCTTCGCAATTAGAGCGAATAATTGGATTTTTGCATAAGGGTTGAAAAATTACTAGACGGAAGGGATTAAAGGATAAGTGAGTGTGAAAGAGTGGGAGAGAGGAAGTGCAAGAGAGAGAGAGAGAGAGAGAGAGAGAGAGAGAGAGTGAGTAGTTAAGCGACGAGAAGCATGGTACTTTTCGTGATTAAATAGCGGGTGTTATACCTTGAGAGATGCTCTGGTGACGAAAGTTTTGGCGCATTGTTCGCACTTGTGATGGTCGTTGGCAGCCGAGGCAGCCTCTACAATCTTGGGACTCGCGTTGTTGCAGCTGCTGGTGTTTACACCGCCAACGCCGTTGTTATTATTGTTGTTGGTGTTGCTGTCGATACCGTCGTCGTCGTCGTTGTTGTTGTTGTTGTTGTTGTTGTTGCTGCTGCTGCTGCTGTTGTTGTTGTTGTCATCGCTAAGGAGCACCGGGGTACCCTTCTTGACGACGAAGATGACGGGTTGTGACGGGGGCTCGGGGGTCGATGTCTCCGTTGCCAGGGAATCACAGAGCCGGCTTACGGGTAGTGAAAGCTCGGGCTTAACGCGACTCTGGCTCGGTGGGACGCTGGCCACCCTGGGGATCGTCGACCCATAGAATTCACTTGCCGTAGGAACTTCGTAGAGAGACTGGAGCTCGCCGAGCCTCGGGGAGGGCGTTCCGTATGCCTCCGGCCGTGATAACCGGCCTGACGATGTCTCCAGCACCTGTTCCTAAAACAAATGTGCACCTTCCGGTTAATGGAGTAAAAAGAAGATAGGCCACCGGCGATCGAGCGCGTGCACTTTTTATGAATTGACAATTATATGTATTTAGTGGAGCGATCTTTTTGCAAGACGAAATATGAAAGGTTCGTGAGAGAAGAATGTGTTTCCTCATTTTTCTATTCGATAATTATTATTGATTGATTAGCTCCGCGTCCACTCGTTTATTCATACTTTATACTCGTTTCTCCATATGTCGTAATAAAGTTCGGCAATTCTAGAGTTATAAAATCACATGGGAATACATAAAAATTGATGAATCTTAATAAATTGATAAAGTCATTAATATTAAAACTCATAAATAAAATCATTACTCAAATAATTATTCCTCAAAACATTCGAGTACGTTGGTTAACATACTTATTAAAGTTTAAGCAAATGATATGAGCATATTCATACGGTTGTAGTAAACACACACACACGCGCGCGCGCGCGCGCGCACGCACGCACATATATATATATATATATATACACAATATTTCTTGTGAGTGAATACATTGGGCTAAGAGTCAGAAATAAAAAACTTGTAAACAGCGATATAGAAATAAAGAGAGAATTTCGTAAAAGGTCACGGAAACAAGGTTTATTGTACACAATTAGCATTTTTATGTACTACATAGCCTCTTTATTATACCATCTTTATATGCTGTGCATCAAATGCGCTTAATTTATCAAAAACATCATAACAATGTGATGCTTTTTATAAGTGGTTTTTTCATTTTCTCAACCTATAGCATTATAGAGATGTACAGAAAGAAGGAGATATACTTGTGGTATCCTGAGACTATCTTACAACGATCCAGAATGATGTTGGTTAATACATGAGGTTGAGAACATTGTGCGAATGATTCAACTTGTATAGTTGTTTCTGAGTTTATTACATATACAGACGAGTAAACGGGTAGACGCAATACTTGAGAATTTTAAACGTCGAGTTCGCGTCTCGTCTCATCATTAAATTATTCCGTTACAGAGATTTCATGGGAATAATATTGCGATGTTAAATTTACTATAATTATTCGGTTCAGATCAAAATTTGTATTCCTGCTTTTTTATAAAAATTTGTACATTTGCTTGCACTTATATTATATTTTGAAGGTAAGTATTCAATGTTTTAATCGCTATTATAAATATTATGAAGCCTTATATTGAAAGAGAGTTTTATTTATTTTCAGTCAAATAATCCTCCATTCGATAAATGCGTAAGATAATATTTATTTGCTTTCATATTGCATTATATTTGGCGGACTAGAGATTATATTCTGTATGCAACAGTATCGAGAGTGCAATATAATAATGTCAAAGATAAGAACTTTTTCTATCGTTTGCGCCTGTAATTTAAATTAAATATAAATCTTTTGTTACTTTCTTGTTTTCTTTCACTTTCTTATCATGCATCTTTAAGATCTTTATTGTGTTTTGAAAATGAAAGATTGCAATATATATTTCATTACATAAAATTGAATTTCTAATGTTCAAGCACAACTATATCATATACATTAAATGATGTAATTATTAACATAAATTGTATAGAAATATCTTTCTCAAATTGATTAAATAAGTAATTTTACCATAAATTTATATGTGTAAACAAATAAAAATTATTCTTTACACCACCGTCGATTATTTTATATCGAAATGCTTTATAAGAAATTAGTATTTATTTTATTTCAACGTTATAAGTATCAATAATTCAGTGTATTATTTAATAAACGCTTGAGCGACTAAAAAAAATCATTATCAAACAATAAGGTAAATAAAATTGACTAGCATACCTACGAGTTCGTTATGTATTCTAATACATAAGTGTATGATACACGGTATTGAACGCAAAAATTTTAAGCTAATAAAAATTCAAATTTCCGTAGAGAGATTAATTTAATTCGCAGACTATAATTCACTAAGATTCAGTTGTGGAATTAAAGCAAATAAAAGTTGGCTAACTTTCACGAAGACAAGGCTTTCAATTTAAAAGAAAAAAAAAGAAAAGAAAAGCAAAAAATGAATAAAAACAATAAATGGTAAAAAGTAAAAAAAAAAATAATAATAATTCAAGTAAGTTGAAAAATTTCTCTTCCAATACGCGGATGTACAGATACTTAAAGATCCAGGGCGACTTGACTTCGCGTGCGAGCGCGAGCGCACAATCGAATGTGTCTACAATAGTCCATTCAATGAATTTTTATTCCAAGCTAAACAAACGCTTTTTGAGAAACTTGAGAATACAGTAAATGGTTTACACATTTTGTGTGCGCCCGATCGTCTGCGTGTGTGTTGCTGTTGTTTTTTTAAATGAAATTTCTTTTTCTACTGATAATAAAATTATAAAATTATCAAAGAATATGGTTATTTATAGAGTGAATAGAAATTGCAATAATAGATAGGTAATTAATAAATAGTTAACATTCCAAGTTTTCTTACTTTATTTGCCCCATTATATATATGTATACACGCACACACATACATTTGTTGAAAAATGCTTTTAGAACGAAGCAAAGATGTTTGTATAGGCCTACATAAAGTATGGCAATTGAAATAATATTTTTCCATAAAAGATCATTGATAATGGGAATGCTTATTGAATTTTATCGTTAGGCTTTAGCCGACGACTTACAAGTTGCATTCCAAGATTGAGTATTGGAGTGCCAAATAGTAAATTTGACTGGTACAAGATGCATCGGTAGTCCGTTGTACATATGTGCTTAGCCTTATAAATAGCGTGGCATGCTGATCAGTCCGGAACGAAAGAACTGTATAGGGTCGATGAAAACAAAAAGAAAAAAAAATGGAAAAGGAACGAGATGAAAGAGAGGAAAATACAAGCTCGCGACCAACTCCTATATCTAACTACACGCGCGCGTATATATAATAAAAGAGTCGAGTCGGTTGGGTGCGGCCCAACCCTGAGTCGGAGATCGAGTTCGGGCTGAGCGATTCACCTTACCACCGTCCAAGGCTGCCACCAGCACTCGATCCTGTAGCACAAGTCCGTTGTGGCGATGGCAGCCGGAGCATCGGCATCGCATCGTGACGACAACAGTGGGGTGGTAGGGGGATAGAAGCCGGGCCCTCGCAAAATTCACAAATGATATGCGCGCATATAAGGTAAAGCTGTAATGTAAGGCTTTTTAAAATGGAGCTCAAATCGGCCTGTTTACGCTCTCACTTCCTCGACTCGCCCGATTTCACGATGCGCGCTCGAAAACGTAACTTTAGCACCTCGTGATTTATCGTATTCGGCCGGCGAGGGAAAAAAGAGGCCGAAACAATCGTAATTACGCACGACTCGTCCCGGCAACGGTTCGCGCGCCGTTTCATTATTCTCGTTTTCCCTTCTTTTTGCAACGTGCGATTCTTTAGTGCAGCGCTCGGAAGTGCTGGACGGGCTCACAGGGCCGAATAATTAATATTGTTTACTCACTCTTATCGGGATGATCGAGCGCTTCATGGCTTTTTTCAAATCAAATCTACGGTGGTGTGCGCGCGGCGCTCGGCCGGCATCTATTAATCAAGGAAGGAAGAAAAGGCAGAAAGTAAGTAGTGTCCTTCGCTCTCGCTCTCTCGCTCTCCCTCTCTTGCTCTCTCTCTCTCTCTCTCTCTCTCTCTCTCTCTCTCTCTCTCGCTTTTTGGCGGGCTACGTCAGCGTTGCGAAGCCGCATTAATTTCGCGCTGGCGCGACCGTTCCGGGGAAATAATGAAAAATCACAGCCCAAGCCCACGTTCTATCCAATTGATTTCGTGATCGAGCTCTTCCAATAACAATTTGAGCTGGGCGCGGGCGTGCGCGCACTCTGATAAATCGCGTTCCTTATTCGCGTTGATAAAAGTTGCGTGCACTCGCGCCGAGACAGCGAGACGCGGGGACGTAATTTATGAGAATGAAATTACGGATAGTACGGGTAATCGATACCTTCATTAATGAGCATGACATTGGTCAATCGAGGCTGCGAGCGAGCGCCGGGTGATTGCTTCTTGTCGCATGTAAGCCATTGGCGGGGCTAGTCGCTTCCGTAATTCGCAAAAACTATCGATAGGCTTGATCGCGTAATTTATGGGACTTTTAAACCGTCTATCACTGCCTAGCTGAGCCGACAGTGACATTTGCAGTTTTGTTAGGACCACTTCTTCTTGTGTCAGCCTATTGACTTCTTTCCGAAACTTTCCTTTCTCTTCGCGAAATCTGGCCTTAGACATCGACTATGAATTTATACATTTTATTGTCTTTCTTATTTTTCAAATATTATAAAGCTAAAGTTTCATGCCCCTAGCTTTTTCATTCGATTATTTAGAGTGAGATTTAGGTAAAGATTCGCGTCTCATCACTATTATGTATATAGGAGACCGAGGTGTAAATTATTATCATTGCTATGAATCTTACGAAACTGGGAAGAAAATTTCAACAGATCTGTGTGTACCCCCCTCCCCCCACTCACCAAACAAAAAAACAAAAAATGCAACTGGTTTGTATTAGAAAAGCTTGGGATATGTATAACCCGTTATCCAGAATTCAAAATATTCGCATGCGCAAATAAAATACAGAAATATACTTCATACTTCCTTTATCGAATGCTCATCATGCAAGTAAAATATCACTTTCACGATTACTAAATACTTATAAAGCAACTTTTAGTTAAGGATATATATATATATATATATATATATATATATTGAAATTATTACATTTCTCATTACATATTTATATTTTAATTAACAAACAGAGCTGGCTTTACTCATCTGCTCATCCTACGTAATCGATCGGCTTGTTAATAATATTGTAAAATCTTATAATCACAAACACTAAAATTAGCTCGTTATTTTACCATTTATTGCGCAGCCTGATGTATTCGTTTGAAAGTTTGCAAATGTATGAGATATTTATCAGGGCCACTGCTACCAGTGCATAGCCAGCAGCACTCTTACAATCAACTCTTACAACCTCATGAAAGAAGGATGAAGAAGAGAATATTTTCGTTCGACGTACCTCGAGACGGAAATCGTTTGCTCAAATGGACTTTCTTATCATATATATATATATATGCACAAAAGCTGTTCCTTGCACGTCATGTACCGCGCAAACGAATCATTACGCGATCGAAAGACGCATTTGTGAACGAACGTAGTCACTGGTTTGTACGAAGAGCACACGCGGGTGCACATTTTCAAATGCAAAAATTACGTCCAAGTGTTCTGGGAATCGACGTTTATGACGTTCCTTTCACTCGAAGCGACCGACTGTCGTATCACTATATTGGAGTTCACATAACGATCAAAGTTCCTCGCACTTTGCGCCCAACACCGACATCGTAACTTTTGCAATTTCGGTGATTTGCGAAAATTGTACTGCCAATTGCTTAATTTTACAAATTTATGACGATGAAGGAGGAAAGAGGATAAGACGTAATCATTACATTTTCGACAATTTTAAGGAAATTTAATTCTTCTAACGAAATCCTATTTTACTTAAAAAAAAACAAAAAAATAAATAAATAAATAAATAAAAATAATATTAAAAAATAATTGCATTCGTTTATATTGCCGGTGCGAATAGCATTACGTAAATAATATGTCGTGAACGAAAAAAAAATTTTTGAAAAGCCCATACTCTGCATCATTATAAATTACATATTGTTGCATAATTGCAAATTATAAAAATATATTTTCATTTTTTCTTCATTTAATTACAATTTTAAAAAAGAAAATGTATTTCAATTTTCCAAGTTTATTTGCAATAAATATTATACGCTCGATAAATCCCATATTTACGATAATATTTATGAATTAAGTAAACTATATCCCAACGTATTATGTCAAATTCTTATGAAATTAAAATCTATTACTAATCACATAACCAACTAAACAGATGTAAATATTTAATATTCCCTTCACCCACATTAAATAGATATTTATAAACATTAACCAATTTTAAGAAAATGGACGGGAAATTTGTCAACTTATTACTAAGAAATCGGCATCGTCTGGAAATATAGCAAAATATTCTTGTCTTTCGTTCCAGCTTAGTTCTTTTTCTTTTTCTTTTTTTTTCTTTTTTTCATTTATTTTTTTTTTTTTTTTTTTTTTTTTTTTTTATTACAAGCCTCTTCCTTCGTTATTAAACTCAAAAGCAGACTCATACCGGTTTTTTGAATAACAATATATGTATATAATGTCACATGTATTTATGAGAGCAGAAATACCCGAGTGCTTAGAAATCCGTTGCCTTTAGTTTTCGACCACCCGCTCTTTAATGCTTATTCCAAGCCAGTCCTTGTGCGATCTGGTGTCAATAGTAACAAAGAGCGATAGCGAAATATGTAGCGAGGAGAAGGTATAGGGCGAGCGAGGGATCAACTGAAAGAGAGGTGGGAGAGAGAAAATGGTTTGGAGAAGAGAGCAAAAGGAAAAAGAAGCAGCAGAAAAAGAAGAGTGAGTTTATTTCGAAAGATCTTACGCTTCCTCCGGACATCCATTAAAATGTCGACTCTGCATTGTTTCGGCATTGTTAAACCTTTCCCCCATTGTGTTTATATGACGAAATTACCGTTAAATCATTTTCACACTTAAAATTTTTATAATTATTTGTGTCCGTGAGAGGGCAAACGAATGAAGAAAAAAAAAAAGCAGCTTTTAAGGCTTATGAATCGACAGTAAAAAATGCAACCAAAGGATGGAATTTTCTTGCCGTTTACATTATTAATTATATAGACAATGATTATGCAAGCCAAAATAATAAGCTCTACATGTATCATAACATTACATTATCTTATTTAAATAAATTCGCATCATTTATGAATATAATTTTTATATTATATATGATAACCAGCTAAAACTGCCATCGATTTTTTGAATTTTTTCGTTATAGCTGACATATCGGGCAGAAAATTCGTCATCGCGCTTTTTTTCCATATTTTTTTGTTTGCTTGTTTTGTTTCTGTTTATTAAGTGGTTAGATCAAGCGCCAGTGCACGCAATAAGAGTAAATGCCACAACGTACACGTGTTAAAATTGGAAATTGATCATTTGCATTTAACGTTTTTGCGCCGGATATGTTTTATTTATAAGGGTCGGCAATGTGTTTCAATTAAGCAAATAAGCATTAAAGAAAACATAATTTGCGCGAGGAAAGAGTTTTCCGATAAAGTATTGCAACATTGTTATGTACGTATTGCTTGCTAATACATCGAATTAAACGATTACACGCGAATGTTCGGCCTCTTGCTCAAATTATATTTATTGTGCATAGTGGTAGTAACGGATTATTTGTATAGCGCCATTCTCAAGTATGCAGCATTTTTCAATCTAATCTAATTTTGTAAAGTAGAACTCGATTATATTTGTTGTCGTTGCATAAATAGCCGGCGACCTAGACCGAACCCAACATATTTGTTTCTTTAAGAAAATCGGCAAAATGCTTGCGATTTCTCACAGCGCAAAAACGCTTTTCGTGAAAAAAGAAAGTCGCGCCGCTACCGGTGCATGGGAACGCGAAGAAAAGCATGACGCCGCTCCGATACACGTCTTTTCAATTTCGCTTTGCGTCAATTAAGCCAAGGCTATATCAGCATTAGCCGGTAGTATATCCTAGCTCCTTTAATTCTTACGATTACATAACGTTATTAAGCCGCCTCGATAAGATACGCGCGATAAGTCGGGGCCGCACTTACCACGGGCTCCTGGTGGCTCTGGAGGATGATCGGCTGCAGCTTCGGGGAATGATGGGGCCTGAGTATCTGATGCCAGGGCGAGGCCGTTACCTGGTTTGCTACCTGCCTCCTGGGCAGCCGCCAGCAACTCTCCCTGCAGCTCAGGTCTTCGCCGGCGTGATTGTAGTCCGGCGGAGGGAGGACGGCTCCCGGCCAGACCGGGCCGCAACAACCCTCGGGGCACTGCTCGCAGCGGACGTAATCGTCGCCCGGGGTGGGTAGCGCCGGGAGTCGAATACGCAGGGCTTCGGCCGCGTGGAGGAAGGCCTCGAGGCGACCCCGCGGCACCGTCGTGCTACCCGTGTACACAAAGCCGAGGAGGGCCGCGAGCTCCGGGCCCTCCACCTCCGCGAGGATCACTGTGATCGGCTCGCTATAGCTGCTCCAGCCACTGTGCGCCAGCAGCACTTCCTGCAACAATTTATACCTCATCGTCAGTGAGTTACGGCATATAATTTTCTACGAGAGAGATCCAATAAGGGATATCGGGATGGGTGAGTCCCATGAGCTTTTATGGACTCGGGGCTGTTTGGATATGGGGTTTTGAGGATGGCCGACCGGCAATGTCGCTCGATGTACCCGATGAACTTACAACAATGTTTAGCATGTACGCGTCATTCATTCGAAGCTCCTACGTATTCTTTAATACATCGCCAGTCGTGGAAATTCATGTTTTGCAGTCTTGAAACGCGTTGCTTAACTCACGTAACCAACAACACCCAGACTCTATGGATCAATGCGTTAGATATGAAATTGACCGTTGCGTTTGAGTAATTTAAGCAATTACTTTATTACAGTATCTGATCACATTTTAACTGAAAAAGTTGCAATGCGGAAGAGCTAATAACATATGTAATTCTTGTTTTCCTCCTCTCCGCCCCGACCCACCCGCCCCTTCCGCCACGCCAACCATCCGCCCCACCCCTTCATGCACTACCTCCAAGTTATCATTGAGCTCATTTATTAGAAGGTTATTATTCACTAAAAGAATTTGCGGATATTATCGATTAGCCATGTTATTGAAACATGAAAAAATTCTTATCCGCATCAACTTATCGATTATGTATTGACAAAATTATTCGTGAAAGTTGTAAGTATTGACAAGACTTTGAGATTCTTTCGATAGTACTTTATCGACTGTACATTAATTTAATGGTAAATATTAATTTGTCTGTAAATGACATTATTCAGACGTAAAGACTTTGATTTGCCATTAATCGTTAAATTTTAAAGCTCATCAACAAATGCTCGTTCCGTAATTCGAGCTCTGATTGTATTCCGAAAAAGTCGACCAACAATAAGTTATCGGTTCAATCAGACATGTTAAATAAAAAGTTAAATTTGTCTGCTCTTATTTTACAGCTGAAAAATTAGCTAACTAATCAGGGAGGATAAATATTTCACCATCATTTCACGTGCCTAAAGAAAACATTTTCTTTTCATAAACAATTTACATAATTAATAAAACTAACTATTAATAATATATTTGTTAACTATTAATATCATATAACTAAATATTATATGTTATTCAATCAAATATATTTGCTATTGTAAAACTTAAATATTTTATACTTTCTCTTCTTCTTATTCCTCGATCCTCTCGTATAAATGCTTATTGTTGTAGCTAATGGCTTGGGAAAAGTGTGTGTGCGTGTGCGGGTGCGTGTGCGTGTCCGTGCGTGCGTGCGTGTGTGTGTGCATGTGTGTGTGTGTGTGTGTGTGTGTGTGTGTGAGAGAGAGAACAGAGAAAGAAAAATTGCTAACGAATAAATAAATTCTTTTGATTAAAATTAATAATAACTATAATGCTAAGCAGGTAAACAAATTGTAGAATAAACAAAACTGGTTTCTTAATGTCCTTACCATCTCTATAATAGAGCTGTGAATCAATATATATTTGTTGTTAGAAAAACATTTAAAACGATACAATATCAACGTAGTTTTATAACATAAGCGATGAATTTGAAATATAGGACAAGCCACTGTAATTAGAAAATGTAACAAGCTGACATAATAATGGTAAATCAATAGAATGTATCAGTTCATCGAAATCTTACTTATGGTGAGTATAAATTTTCAGCAATAGAATAAAATGAAATTTAAGTAAAGAAAATCCGTTAGAAAAAGTATATTTTAAAAACTGTCTTTCGAAAGATAAAAATCCGTAGAAAAGTGTTTATTTTAAAAAGTGTCTCTAAGTGCGCGCGCGCACGCATGCCTTGCCGACGAGAATCTAGCTATTTCTCGGTAAGAGGGAGAAAAAGCGACAGAGAGTTAAAGAGAGAAAGATAGAGAGAGAGAGAGAGATAGAGAGATAGAGAGAGAGAGAGAGAGAGAGAGAGAGGGGCGTGAAAGGCGACGCATAGAAGCGCAATTACGCATTTTCTTGTCCCTAAGGTTGCGCGGCGTTTGTGGCAGGAGACATTGACGGTCGCAAAACGGATAGAAGTGTCATGTTTCTCCCATAGCGCGTGCGGGCGCACCTGAGAATTCCGAGGATCGCTCCAACGGCGGCCCATTTGTCGGATTGTCATGACTCCGCATTTCTCTTCTTCTCATTTGTATATTCGACATTATATAATGCCCGACTTGTCATTATATATTATATGTTCGCACAATTGAGATTCACGCACGCGCGCGCGCGCGCTATTCGTTACGTCCTCTGCTACGCTTTTCCGTCCCATCGTCGTCAAACTATCTCTTATTCGAAATTAGAAAGTTAAACGTTCACGATAAGCTATCCATTTTTCTCCTCTTTATTTTTCTCTTACTTCATCAATTGAGCTTTCATTTAGTTTTCTGTGTCGAATGTGAGCGGCGCAATATTTACACTCTCATCGCCGTTGCATCTAGTGCGTTTACCAAGTTCTTCGTGCATTACGTCATTGACAATTTGACTCTTTTAAAATCATTATCAGCCTTTTCATGCAAGCTGTATTGGCAATTGGGTAAAAAATAAACTGTCGCTGCGACTTTCGTGCAAATATTTCGAAGCGACCGCTTTATTATAGTCCCAGACATTAGCGAACTTTTCCCTTCTTTTCATTTCCCTTTCGTCAATCCTCTCTCTCTCTCTCTCTCTCTCTCTCTCTCTCTGCGCGCGCGCGCGCGCGTGTGTGTGTGTGTGTATGTGTCTGTCTCTGTATGTCTCTGTCTCTTGCGCTAGAAAGATCGCGCGCTTCTTCCAACGCGTCTGTTGTTCGATAAGTTAATAAATAAAGTACTACCGGCCTAACGTATACCGCCGGAGGAATAAGTATAAAAAAAGTCATGGCAAAGGTTAATTTACCCAGCGTTAACACCATTTGCAAATTATGTCTCATTTCAACGAGGGGACCTTTCACTAATTCCGTCGTAATAGTTCGGGGAATACCGACCGCGATCGAAAAGAGCACTCGGCAGTCGGACAATGGCAATCTATCTCCGGACAATGATTATCGCGAGCGTCATCGAGGCCGAAAAAACGTATCGAGCGCTCAAGCAACGAATGAATCGAATGCTTAAGATCGTAAGACTCGCGCATTATCGTTGACGACAAAGCCAACGCGATTGGCGGCCCGGATAGGAGTCGCGATTAATATTGGCCAATTGCGGCAAGAGCGATGCCTCGTGCACCGACGCCAGCGTTGATAAATTAAGTATGCCAGTGCGCGTGGTTTTGCGAAACGGCACCTACTCCTCCCCTCGCGCCGGTCCCGAGATGCCGAGCACACTCGGTATGTGCAGCCGAGGTAAGCCTATCCGTTTGGTTATTGGTGATGCATCGTTCATTGTTTCGAGCGGCCGAGAGAGCCGGGAGCGCTAAAGTTCATCCGTGACTCGGGATAAATCATGGAAAGCTGGATTTATTGGCGGGCGCGTGGGTGGTGACTGAGTCGAGGCTGTTGCCCGGCTAGACGCGGGACAGCAGCGTCACTACTGGATAGGGCCTAGACATTGTTCGCGGGCCTTTCTGATTAATCGCTCGTGACATCGGCGAGAGATGGTGGTGTAGACGTCAGAGCCTCTGGCCTTCTTGGCGGCATTATTCTCGGCTTTACGTCATTATCGCGTGGCCGCGCTTAATCGTACCTGCTCTCGACGACGCCTGAAATGCCACCATATCTGCCGTGTTTTAACAACTTGTTGATGATGCAATGGCCGAGGGTGTCGCTCGCTTTAACTAATTAGCCCAATTGGTTGGCTACGGTTAAACGCGATAACAAACTAATCCACGAAAATTCGTGATTATTGATAGGAGGTGGTGGAGGCGATGGTGGTGGCAACCGCGGCGAATTATGCTCAATCGTGGAGGAGCGCTCGCTGATTATATTCTTTAAAAGATTCTTGAAAAGCCGTACAATGTTATGACGATATAGTATGAGTGCCAAATCTGATTTGCGCCTGTAAACGTGAGTTTATATAAAGCTAAGTCAATAATTTGAGTAAGACAATGCCGCATTACAATCTCTTTTGTGTAATTTGAATAGAAATTTGTAAGCCAGAATTTTTCATCCCGTCGCATCAATTATTTGCTTATCTTCCACTCCGGCTGCTTTCTCATACATTAAGCGCATTATGTAAAGTACGTGTAATATCGGTGCCTAGTGCAGCTATTTAAAAATGCCATTACGTTAATATAGCGATGTTATAATGGATGCATATATTGTAAAAGTCTTGGGCTGTCTTGATAACGATTGCTTTGCGCTCGTTCGTAAGGAAATCATGCGTTTATCTTAAAAAAAAAAAAAAAAAAAAAAAAAAAAAAAAAAAATTCGCTTACTCGATAGTTCAGTTCAATTCAGGAATTAATAAAACGTGCCCTAGCAAACCTTGGTGATTTTCTCTTTCTCTCTTTCTAACTTCCTTTCTTCACTTTATTTATTTATTTATTTATTTATTATTTATTCATTCATTTATTTTACTATCTATTATTTGCTTAACATTAAAGTTATTCGAAAGTAATGTAAAAATCGATAAAGTTTGCGAGGCATGGGAGCGCGCAAGTCTTCTAACGGCAACGTACCGTTATTCCTTTAATCAACGCGCCGAATCCCACCCAATTTGAAGGTGATAATTTCCTCTGTTGTCGTAGACCTCCCGACCGAGTATAATCTCGGGAGCTTAAGAGTACACGCCGTTTGCTCGTCTCGTTTTATTGCTTATTTTACCCGTAAAGTCGGGAGTCAAGCGAAGCAAGAGAGGAGGTCGAGAAATAGCGGCACAGCTCGTCGCGTTCAACAATCACGAAATCATTGATTAGAGCGGCAGCTCTCGATTCTCAACTCTCGGTCCTTCTCTCAAGGCTTTCGACTCTCGACTCTAATAGCCACTCCGTCCATTCGGTCTCTAGGGATAGTATCACGGCTGCGCAATATATTTTACGGCTTTTTTATGTCTTGCTTTTCTTCTATTTCTCAAATTATATATAT